CAAAGAACTTTCACCTTTTAACAAGAAGCTACTAGTAGCTCCTGACACTACTACTAGGAACAAGAAGCTACTAGTAGCTAGAAGCTACTAGGTGGAGGCCATCACTATTAGGTTGGAGGCCATCGCAACTAGTAACAAGTAGCTTCACGTTGCCGACCCAAAACTTGGAGCTCCTCAAAGAACTGTCACGTTTTTGGCTTTCGCATCCTGAAATTCCATCCTTCTCTTGTCAAGCTGGCCGTTGCCGCCCCTCCCGCCACAACGGCTGGGAGCTACGTAGGCGGCAGCTCTCATGGGCGTGCACACCTTGGGTCGTGGCCACAAAGGGAATTCCGGCTACGACGGCTGGTGGAGTGACTCGAAGTGCCTTGGAGTGACGCGAATGGGATGGTATTCGACCGATCCAAGAACGATGCCTGTTTTCCACAGCAAATCCAAAGGGTGAAGCGTTCGATTTCTTCCAAATGTCATCCGAGGTCAGCTGGAAGGAAACCAAAAAAGACACGGGTATCATGAAAACGTCTTGGCAGCATGAGGTGAGCAAAAGAAAACGCAACACATTTGGGCACGTGTCGCATCCATATCTACTTCTTTCCTGTTCGCGGGCGGTCTCAGGAACAGCCGCATGTTCAACAACGACTACTTTGTGCCACTCGGCTGCCTCTCCCGGTCGCCTGTCCCTCTCACCTCGTCGATCGATATCTACGATTCGATCGACGCTACGTGCCACTCCGCGTGTCCCTCACCCACCCGTCGATCGATCACCATTCGATCTATGTTTTCTGTTTTCGCGAGCAGGAGCTTGGGTGCTAAAGGCTGGGGCCCAGACAAGAAAGTGGGCGGCAACGCGATGAAGAACCAATGGGTCCGAGTCGACAAAGGACTCAAGAAGGAGGAACGCACAGGCGGGACAGTGTTTTCTTTTTTCCTCAAGAAATGGGGAACACGAAGCTACTAGGGGCTCCTGGCATCGCTACTAGGAGCAAGGACGCTACTAGGGGCTACTGGCCGTACTACTAGGAGCAAGTAGCTACTAGGAAGAGATGTAGTGTTGCTACTAGGCAGACATTGACATGTTGAGAGATGTAGAGATGTTGACTCGAGCTCACTGCAGTGTGGTCCGTGCAAGCTTCACATTCACATCACATGCCGCAAGGGTGTCTGGCCGTTTTCAAAAAAACACAAACAAAAAAAAACACCGTTCCAAGGGAAAGAGATGATGCTGAACACTGACATGTGCTTGGTGTGGACAAACGATGGCTCGGGAAAGGTGGACATGATTCTTGGCTCGAATGGTGCTCACACTCTCAGGCGTTCACCATGAACGGCGTAACTATTGCGGCGGTGTTTGGATTCTTTTTTTGTGAGCGCCAGGAAGACCATGTTTGCAATATACAAGCACATATTAACAATATAATATACATATGCTACCCCCTCGAAAAAGTCTACCTTTTGAGAGGTACAAAGGGCAATGCCACACAGATTCCACAGCAGCTTGAAAGTTGCTGTCAATGGTCTAGGATCAAAGGGACTAGGCATGACATTAAAACCAAAGTGCATATCTGGCCTACCATCTGCAGCTTTTGCTATATCTGCCACATCCAATTCAGTAATGGCTCTTACAATAGTTCTCATGCTTGCTGTAACTCTTTTCACCCTTGCATCCAGCAAGCCTATAAGTTATAAAGAAAATCCGTAAACCTGTTATCTAATGATATCATTATCTCCTGTTATATCTGTTGTATCTCCTGTAATATAAACCTGTTATAAACCTGTTATATCTACTGTAGATCATTCATCTGATTCAAACAAAAACTCACCGAACGCAGGGAGCGACAAGTCGAACGACTGCCTCGTACGGTATCCTCATTCGAACGATTTCAGGTATTGGGCTAGCGACAAAGCGACTACTGTAAGGTGATGCAGCCATAGACGCCATAGACGCCATACCATTTTTGCCGGTGTCACCATTCCCCCTACTTGTGCCAATAACCCTATGAAGACATCACCAAGCATGGCTTGTGCAAGAAAAAACGTTTTGTATGATTAAGATGTTTTTCAATACAATCTTAAGACGGTGGAGACGGGAGGTTCTCCGAGCTGCATCCTCTGTTGAAAGTGTCACAACTGCAGTGAACCTTCAACCTGCTGGGGTTCGGCATTTGTTTTGAAAGGAATTGTGGTTCTTTTGAAAGTACAAGATTGCGAACATATTTCGTTTTTGTTCGCGCAAGTTGACTTTGCATGCAATGCTTTTTTTGTTTCCCAAAAAACCCGATCTGAGTGAAACTGCCTGAGGAGCAGGTTTCCAGGTTTGAGACATTGTCCTACGAACCTGCCAAAAGTGTGAAAAACCATGGGTTTCGCCATGCAAAATGACTGACCATCATTTCGTACTGTAAACACCAATACATTAATCGAAAAGGCACACCTTGATATTCAGCCATTTTTGCTTGTTTTCGAAGTGTTGATGTCTCTTCAGAAGGTGTTTGGACTTGGAATTCTATGTCTTTCCACACCCAATCCTCCATGTCAAACTCCTTTTCTCACAACTTCCACAGAGGCTTCTGGAAGCAAGCAGCTGGACTGACCAGCCCTTGCGATGCCTTTTGCCTGAAGAGTCCCAACGCTTCCATGACACTCTCCAAGCCAGGCTTTTTGTTCAAGCGGTGCACAGCCAAGAGATTGCGATGTTCAATCGCATCTCTGGCATCGGCGGACAGAAGATTTAAGCGGCGCAGCTGTTTCTTTGAAACACTCGCCACACTCTCGTCCCCGGCGCAAAGAATGAAGCTATCCCGCCGCTGTTTGCAGAGATCATCTGCGCAAAGCTTTCGGAGGAGATCTAAATGTGGACGATCCAATCCAGCTTTTGGAATCGCTCCAAGTGGTGTAAAAAGGAAACGAAATGGGCCACTCCAGGGATTGAAGCGACGCCGGCCATGCTAGCAGCTTTGTGGAGGGCAGCAGAGCCGTCCTACCACGCTTGAGCTTCTTCTGGACGTGCAGAACTGTTTCATGCAACGATTCAGCACCGGCTGAATGTCCCTTGCTCGCCACGTTTGGAGGCAAAGGCAGGACTGAGTAGTTCTTGGTCTGATTTTTGCCATCCAAACTTCGAAGTTTAAGTATCACATGTCTGCCTTTATGGACCGTTTTCTTTGCTCCCGCTAAAGATGGTTTTTTCTCGGCTGCTTCATGGGCAACGGCATCTTCAATTTGCTGGAAGATGCTCGTTCTACTTTCGCACGTTGTGCACGAGCTTGTGTCCTCGGTGTCAGGGTTGATTGAATGTCCAACGCCTCATGGTGTATTTTGTCTGATTTGGTTGACCAGTGATGAAACAAAAACACGACACCCAAAAAATTCTGATCTAATGACTAGAGACACTTCTTGGGAAGCAGGATTTCTTCTCACGGAAGTTTTGGCAGTGTCATACTCTAGGATACCCTCTCCAAACTCAAAGTCCAAGCTTTCACAATATTCGGCTGTGGCCAAAGCTGAGCACACATCCCGGGCCCAAGCCAAGACTCTGTCCCGATTCACACCATCGAGTAGATGAGGAAGTGAATCCAGAGGAATTTTGACGCCCGCCAAGTAGCACAAGCGCAAAAGTTCTGATAGTCCACATCTTCATTCCTGGTAACGCTTCGGTCCACGATTCGAAGAGCCAGCGGGGTATTCAAAGTAAAACAAAGCAAAAGCTTGGTCAAATGTTCAAGACATGACACTGACGCGCTTGAGAATGAAGAGGGGTAAAAGCTTCTCGAGGAGACGTCATTTGAGGATGCATGTAGAATCCTGTTGTCTGGCACTTCAAGTCTCCATTGATGTCCCGATTGATTCTGGACATAGGTTCCAAACATGACCAGCAGAGCGGCATATCATCGCTGAGCACGTTCTTTTCCATCAAATATTTCCAGCATTTCTGAGGAGGCCAAGAGCATAACTCTGGGTAACTAATTTGTTGCAAAGAACGTAAGTCCAACTTCTGCCGATCCCCATCCGCCTGTGTGGAGTACTTGAGACCTTCCGCCTTGAAAGCCTGGTTTGCCTCTGCAGATTCCTTTTTCGACCTCTTGGAGGAAGCTGGTTGCAATTTGGCATGTTTACTCAAAGCCGGCATGACAGCGCCAATGATATGTGAGAAGTGGCACCGGAAAAAGCATGAGTGGAAAAGGCCGCGGAGTTTTTTGAAACTTGGAGGAAGCTGGTCGTTTCACCACATTCATCAAGTCCAAACAAACGGTGAGACAGAAAGAAGGAGCGGGTCTGAAGACAGTCGGAACTGTTTTTTTGGGTGGGCGGAGCGGAAGCCAAGATCATCGACCTTGTGCAAAAGCCATCCGCAAGGATGTATATTCATCCTGAATGTTCTGAGGCAACTTCTTGAAAAGCCCACGCGGAAAATCTGCGCGGTACCAACATTTCTCTGCAGCCGGACAATTCTTGAACCAGCTGGAACATCTCAAAAATAACTTTCCAAAATCGTGGCTGTTGCCGCTTCTCGTCAGATGCGGCTGCAAGCTCAACTGGCAATGATATTTGCAGCCACCCCACTTGAACTTTTCTTGCCCAGGGAACCAACAAGGAACAGACACCTCAGGCAATTCGGCTTCTTCTTGAAGCTCTTCTAAAATTTCCTGAGGCTGCACCGTCAAACCCTCGCCTGAGTGACCTGTCTCTTCCGACTGGCCAGCGTCTTCGAGCAGGGTAGGTGTGGTTTCCAGAGGACCCACAAATGGCAGGCTCTGGGAACTCTGCGCAAACCTTGGGTCGCGGTCACAGATCATTGCAACACAGGACTAGCCAAGAACTTGCCCATTGCCCGAAAGTGTTACCGATTTTCACACGTCCCGTCAAACGTTATTCCACGTCCAAGTGTTTCTGTATCGTTCAAGTGTATCTGATCGTTTGTCAAGTTGCTGGTCAACGGAAGGAATCACTGGGTTTGAGAAAGCGCCCGCAGAGCTGGAGGGGTTGTCATCCGTAGGATCTTCACGGACTTCCTCCCCACTGTCGTCGCATGTCAAATGGACAAAGGGATTCATGGCCTGCATAGCCCTTGTTTGTCTATGATGCCATCCTGCATGTTGCGAGAATGTTGCATGGGCAGAAGTCCGAAGCACAACCGAAGACACTGGACCATCACTAGGAGATGGAGAAGAAGAACAACATGTCAAACTCCAGTCCTTTCCAACGTTTCGTCCATGGGCTGTTTAGCTCGTTCTGAGGGCTCGGAGGATCAACAAAACTGTGGTGAGCAAAGCTTGCCTGAGATTTTGATTCGAAAAGCAGTGGTGATTGAGTGGGTTGGACATACACTTGAGTCTACATTCCAATCTTTAAAACAGGCACAACGAAAATAGATTAGTGCAAATCTCCAGGTTGCCTCGGCATTCCCTTCACACTCTTCAATCTTTCTCTTCAGAACTGGAGAGAGTGCAGGTTGAGGTCTCACCACGGCTTCAGCAACGTGGCTTGCTAGAGGCAACTCACGCATTTGCAACAAACGTCGAGAAAGAACAAACGCAGAAGCCAACAATGTTTGTGAAAGTTGCTTTCCGGCAGTGTGTCTCAACCATGCATCAGCCAACAAACACGAGTGAGCAACCTCGGAAGGATCGAACCAATGACGATCAGGAATCAAAGCACAAGCACGAACAAAGGAAAGGATGTCGTCAGCCGCAGAGTAAGTGGAAAGGATATCCAGACACTGGTCCAAAGTGAAAGGATTGATTCGAAACGAATGTTTGATACGAACACAAGTCAAAGGAAGACCGCAGCCAGCGATGCGAAGCAACGAAACGTAAGAAAAAACAAGAGCAACCTGAAAGTCTTGATCCGAAATCATCTCCAAAAAAGAAACTTATCCATAACCCCCCACCCGGACATCCAGTTGACATGAAAGAAACGTAGAATGAAACGTGTTTGCAAATGAACATCAACTTCACATGAAAGAAACATAACATCAAACCATGTTCGTGTGCTAATTGACCCTCCCCCACCCCCACCCGAGACGCACATCGAGCGACATCGAAAAACGACAAAAAACGACATCGAAAAACCATGACATGAACCTCTCCGAGACATGAACCCTTCGGAGAACCCTCCGTCTGGAGGGTCTTAAGACAAAGTACCTTTTACCATCATACCATCCCTAAGGATCAAGGACCCTCAAAGGTGAAGGTTTTGAGGGTCCAAACCCCTGCTATGCAGGGTCAAAACCCTCCATAGGAGGGTCCAATGATCCTTAGGGATTGTTTAAATCCCTCACCTCACCCCACCCCATCCCAGATCGTGGACGTGCTCGGTGCGTTCTGTTGAGGCGCTGGACTTCAATAAGACACTTCAAAAAACCATCGGCCCAGAAACACAGATGAAATACCCCAGCTTGTTCAAAGTGACCTTTTTGGAGTCCCCTAAGTGACCTGTTACAGGCCTGTTCGTGAGTTGACCTCAAACCAGGATATCAAAAGGTTCACTGTGAAAATACCAAGCCAATAGATCCTCAATTAGTCAAACATTTCTCTGAAAGTGGAAAGGGGTACCATGCCCCCCCGAAAGTGGGTGACCGGGAGATGCCAGGACATGATGCCAATTCATGATGTTTCATGAATGTCTTGCACATCTGGAATGTTCTTCCTGCACACCCCAGATCGAAAAACCGACTTCCAATTCTTCGCAGCCCGACGCGCACCACCAACACCTTCTCCCCCTTCTCCCCAAAAACAGCCCTCCGTGTTTGGTCTTCACCGAGGAATGCCAAGACAGCCCCCAAGTACGGCTGCAATTGCGCCTGGATCGGACCGCTAGAAGCCCCGAATGCGGCTCGGTGGCGAGGGAAGCGAGCGAGCGCCGTCCGTGCCACGGACGGTGCCACGGGCGGTGACGCGACGGTCGTACCGCCAGGGGTGGAAGAAGTACAAGGATGGCGAGTGCCTTTGGCTGAAAAACGACGCATGCCTTTGGCCAGCGTTCCCAATGAAGAAAGGCTGATTTCACAGTGTTTGATGAAATTCTGACCCTCTGTGGTCAGGTTCTGCGGTTCAAAGAATGTTCCGGACGACTTCAACGAAGGATGGCCAAAGCCGCGACCCTAGCACATATGCATGCCATGAGCCCTCCTAAAGAATGCAAGGTTGGGTGTAGCTGAACATTTGAACCCGTGTGGGGACTCTTGGCTCAAATGGAAGGGAGCCTTTAGCTCATGCCAACTCCAACAACCCTGGTTGTTTTTGTGATAGTTTTGTTTCCTTTTGAGAAGCCAACCATCGTGAGGAAGGCTGCTGCACGGGATCGCCCTTTGCTTGGCCAGTTAAATGACCAACGCGACAGTGCAAAAATCAAGCACAACAACTGGGGCCTTTTGGCAAGACGGGTTTAAGATTTGTGTAATCGGCGCCTTTTGGGGCATTGATTTGTGTGCGTGCGGCTGCGTTGGGACAGTAATTTCAGGATTTGTGAAGCTGCTGTGGATTTGTGTAGTGGCGTCCTTGCAAGTGGAACTCTGGGTTTGTGTTGCTGCAGCTTGCTTGCAAGAGGAAGCGTGCAGCTGACTGGCTGAGTTACTGGACTTGTGCGACCGTGGCTTCCTTGCAAGAGGAGTCTCTGGATTTAAGTCATGCAGTTTGCAGGAAGAACTCCATGTGCGGCGCTTTGTGCCCTCGGTGAAGACTCTGCTGTTTACACCAGTTTCCTTTTCATCATCACTTCATCACTACCATCATTGTCACCACTTGTACCATGTTGCTGAAGCGAGCCAGTCTTTTTACTTCATGGGAGACCAGTTTGACCAGAGAAACAACAAGACTTGCTGTAGAACACAGTCTACAGATTTCATTTTTGTAAGCTATAGAACAGTCACGCACCAAAGCCGCTGAAAGTCTTTTTAGGAGAAAAGCTGCACTTGGCCCAGGGTTGTTGCGAGCAGGGTGACCTGGTCTTAACTAGAGGCTTGCCAAACATGATTGACAACCCTTAAAATTTGGGCCAGCAGTTACGGAGATGTAAGCCATGTATCGCGCCACCGTAAGAAACAAATCCTTCGTTCGCTCGCCGGCGCCCGCCCGAACCGGCTCGTGCCAGGCAGCGAAACAATTGCTGCGGGGTGATGCAGAGTGGTGGCGACGGTGTCGAACCTTGGCGACTTACTGCCGAGTGGCGGTCTGCATGGACGTCTGAATGCAGGGGTCCCGTTGGAGTTCTGTACCGCGAGGTGGAGGGAAACCACGGTTGAGGATCGGGATGGGGTTGATCTCAAGGTGTTGGAAAGGGACACAGTCCTCTCGCCCTTCCCCTGTGAAATGCTTCCCCCCCGCAGGGATGTTGTGTGAACTTTACAGGGGATACTTCTGTGGTGTATTGATCATGTTCCTCGCCCAGGCGAGCGAACACTTGGCCTAATGGGTCCAGCGCCAAGGCAACGGGTCATCCTCCACTTGACCGGGAACTGTTTCCACCTTGTAGGCCAGCACCTTCCAACAGGTCTCCTTTGGAGGGTTGTTAGGCGCTAAGAAGTTTCAATGGGTGACCTGTGAAGTCGGTGCTGAGGTGTGTAGTGGCCGTCCCAGGATTTTTCGTCCAGCGCTGAGGATTGTGGAGATCCTCGCTATCCGAAGGGCCCGGCTTGGAACTACGTGAAGGCGTTGCTTGGTCTCAGACTGTGAGCAGACTGTGAGCTGAGCTCAGCCTGCCCATGCCCTGCGGCTGTCCTTCTAGCGGGCAGGTGACCCCGAACCTTGCGTGGGTGGGTGGATGGGTATGTATGTCCAAAGGAAGTGTGGATCGGAAGGCCCCAGGAAGCGACCGATGTCCAAACGGTGGGTGAAACAGGCTAAGCAGCATCTTTTCAGGAGGATTTGAGGTGAACAACCGCATGGAGCCGCAAAAAGGGTGAGGAATTCATGTATATGCAGAGTCAGGAATTCTTAAGTCAATGATTCACGTGGCCACCCAGACATGTTTTTTCCCCAGATAGCGAAGCTATGGGGTTCTTACTTCAAATAACAATGAGTTGCCCGTGCGCGCTTTCGAGACAGGTTGCTGGTGCTGAGTGCCCGTGCTGGTGCTGGTGCTGTGAGCTGGCTGTGCACGTGGTGAAGACAGGTTGCTGGTGCTGGTGCCTGTGCTGGTGTTGGGTGCCGGATGCCGGTGCTGGTGCTGGTGCTGCGAGCTGGCTGTGTACGTGGTGGTGCTGGTGCCGGGTGCCAGTGCTGGTGCTGGGTGCCGGTGCTGGTGCCGGGTGCCGGTGCTGGTGCTGGGTGCCGGTGCTGGTGCTGGTGGTGTAGCTTGCATATGTGAGGGGGTCTACATTCGGATCTTTTTCCCAGATAGCTTCGCGCTTTTGAGACAGGTTGCCGGTGCTGGTGCTGGTGCTGTCAGCTGGCTGTGCACGTGGTGGACACAGGGTGCCTGGGCGCCGGGTGCCGCTGCTGGTGCTGTGAGCTGGCTGTGCACGTGGTGGAGGGTGCCGGCCCAGTTAGCGACAGCTATGGGGTTCTTATTATTTCAAAAGACGTGCCGGTGTGGGTGCTGGTGCCGGGTGCTGGTGCTGGTGCTGGGTGCTGTGAGCTGGCTGTGCGCGTGGTGGAAACAGGCTGCCGGTGCCGGCTCCTGGTGTGGTGGGCTGTGGTGCTGGTGCTGGGTGCTGTGAGTGCGCGTGTTGGAGACTGGGCGCCGGTGCTGGGTGCTGGCTGTGCGCGTGGTGGAGACAGGGTGCCGGGTGCTGGGTGCCCGGTGCTGGGTGCTGTGTGGGCGCCGTGAGCTGGCGTGCCGGTGCTTGGTGCTGGTGCCCGCTTCTGACAGTGAAGTGATAACAGCCGCTGCTTCTGACAGTGAAGGGTAAGAAACAGCCGCTTGCAGCGGTGAAGGGTGACCAAGCGCCGCTTCTGACAATGAAGTGCCAGCAGTCACGCATAAGCTTATACGCGCAAGATCATACGTTGTTATTCCCCAAATAGGGATAGTTATGGGGTTCTTGCTGCAAATAAGAATGAGCTGGCTGCGCGCGCTTTCGAAAGGGTGTCGGTGCTGGTGCTGGTGTGGTGGTCCTGGGTGCTGGTGCTGTGAGCTGGCTGAGCGCGCGTTTAAGACGGGCGGCGGCCCTGGTCGGGTGCTGGCGCCGCTGCCGGTGTTGTCAGCTGGCAAAGCGCACCGGTGCTGGTGTCAGCTGATTGTGCGCGCTGTGGAGGTGCCGTAAGCTGGCTGTGCAGGCTGCGTACATTCTTGTTCCAGCCAGTCGCATGTCAACAGGTCGTGGGATTCTGCCTAGCTATCTGGGTCTATGCTGGTGTAATTTACTTTTCTTTTCTGGGGAACTATTTTCAAAGTGCCTACAGCCACAGCGCTGTCACATTCGTCATGAATAGAACCTAATCATGGAGATTGAAAGGTGGGTCCCGCTGACGATCTGCTTGAGGTTTATGTTGAACGAAGACACCTGGCTGTCTGCCTTCAGCGCAAGCTGGAAGGTGGCCACGGAGAATGGCTTTCAAGGATTGAAGCGCCTCCGTTGATCAACGAGCGCTGTGAGCCAGACGTGTTGTTCTTTTTTGGCGCCTGGACAGCCGTGCTGTAGAAACACAGGATGTGAACGCCGGCCAAAAGATATATATATATATATATGTATTGGATGTACACTCTGGATTAATCACCCCCCAAATGGGGGGTTGACATGTAATCAAGAGTCTACATCATAGACCCATAGTATCCATTTCTCCCTGTAGAAGGGGGCACCATTATATTTTGCCGCAGAAGTGCCCAAAGCGGTAGCATCGCGACGCTTGTTGCCTTTGCCAGACAAAAGAGCGATGGCGAGAAGACGAGAATCCTAATTCGGAATTCTTAGATGGAATGGATTGCCAGTTGATGGCCAAAAGGCTGAAAGACATTGGTGACACGTTGGTGAGGTTCTTCAACGCATCGGTTTCGTTGTTCAACGCATCGAGTTGATGCCCCCCCCCAAAAGCAAAATGTGAGAGGACGGTTGGGGAGGGACGCTTGGCGTTCAGCTGGTAGTGTGCCACCACATTCAGGTCGACCGTTTTCAGATCAGTGTCTATATAGTCCACTTCCCGGACAGTCAGGCATTTTGGGCCTCGTGGGTCTGGCCAGACCCACCGGGTACGACCATGAACCCTCCGCAGACAGAATTCGAAGGGGAGCACGACACCCACAAAAACCCCGCGAAACCCGTACGTTCGGGCTGTGTCGCCTCGACACCGGGACCGCTCGCCGAGCCGACGGGGCTCTTGTCTCGCGACGCGCGACTCTGCGTGGAACACGAGGAAGCTCGAGGGCGGCCGACGTGAGGTGGTGCCAGGAGCACATTGCGTTGTTTTCGGACCAGTCCATGGCCAATATCGTGTCTTCCTTCGGCATGCCGACGCCCCGGAGGGTGAGGGGATACTCAGAGACGACTCAGAGACGACTGTGAGAGCGATTTTCGACCTCGAGAAGTAATTACCCCGTACGGAACCATGTGGGTGCATGTAAAAGAGCGAGACCTTGAGAAGTGACCTGGAAGAAGGAACGTGGACCAGTCTACCCAACCCATTTGTTTGTTGAGCTTTGCCGGGTCTGCCGATTAACGTATATCCTTCCATCGGCACGGTTCCGGCACCCCAAGGCTTCGGATCAACTTGCACCCCGCCTTCCTTGCAGCGGTGGAGCAACAGGTGCCGGGCCAACCATTTTTTGGGCCAACCGCTGCTGTTTTGTTTTCTTGAAAGCGGCCCAAGGAGCAGGAGCGGAATCCTCCAAAGCGATTTGCTTGTGTTCGTGTTTGGGGTGTTGGTTTTTGGAGCTGAACCGGTGATGTCCGCTAATGATTTGTCGGTAAAGACATGGACCGTTGGCGTTTCTCAGACTGGCGCGATCTGAAATGAAAGGATGTGAGCTCACCTCAGACATGGGCCAAGTTCCACAGCTTGTGATACACATCTGGACGCTCCAAACTCGCAGTCCTGACCTCCCGGGGATTGGTTCGGTTGTGAGCAACCGATTTTGTCTGGGTGGTTTCAGAGGATTTTGGTGTTCAACATGTACTTGGGATGATGGATCGCACTGACCGTATTTGTTCCGAGTTGAAACCACCGAAAAGGTGAGATCTCACTATCTCACCGGTCGACTCCCGCTGAGATCGACCCTTCAGCATCTCTCAGGTCCTTCAGAGGCTGAAGGCTTCGGATCATGGGGCACTGGTGGTCTTCTTCCGTGTCCAGACGCCTAGAGCTGCCGTTGGACCCCAAACCGTCCGCCCCATCGGACGCTTGGGACCCGGGCCCCTGGACCGGGAGGATCGAGAATGTTTCGGGTCACCGGCAAGAGATGAAGCCCTAGGGATCCAGTCATACCTTCTCAGGTACGGTGATTGGAGACTGTTTATGTAGGTTTGGAGGGTCCAAGTGTACCGAACCTGGGGACGTACGACTGGATCCCTAGGGAAGTCAGGTGGGTATCTGTTTGACCAGATCTTGGGGTCGGGGGCGAACTACCGAACCCGCGAACCTCGGGGGTGTCGACACGTGACGTGACCGTGCGCACGGTTGCGCCCACGTGACCGTGAGTTCGTTCGTGGGGCGGGTCGTGTTTGGCGTGCCGTCTCCATGGTCTGCCCAGACGCGACCCTGGACCCTCCGTTCAGTAGGGGCCGGACCCTCAAATCCCTAGGGTTTTGAGGGACCAGGAGCTGTGAACGGAGCGTCTGGGTGGAAGCGACGTGCCCACCGAGGGTTCGGAGGTGCGCAGGTTTTTTCGGTGCTTCAGGGTGGATGACTTGTTTTTCACCGGGATCCCCTCGAGGCTCCAGCTTCGACAGCGAACACCCCGGGGACCTACTAGAGAGTCCAACGTACAGATGAGCCGAGTGATTTGAGACGAGTCCAATCGAGTCGGTGCCCTTGGCCAACTCTAGTGCCCCTTGGCAAGACTAGCGGACACGGCTCCCCATGGGTCCACCTGCGTCTGGGCGGCATGCTACCCCTTTTTTTGGTCCTGCGACCGATGCAACCACGGCATTCTCTGGGGAATTTTCCGTGCACAGCGGAAGTTCACGAGTTCTTCTTGCTACTCTGCATTCTCTTGGGGGGCATTTCATCCGGGAAGGTGCATGGCGCCACGGTATTGGTGCATGAAGCCTTTCCGTGAAGAAGATATGTCCTGAAGCTAAGGGTTGTGACGTGCCCTTGCAACAGACCTTTTCCGCTTCTTTTTGAGGCACTATATAAATATTCTTCCAAGCGACGTCCAGAACCCCCCCATAAAGAAGATTTCCACTTCAAACGGGGGGATTTACTCATCAAGAGTCTATACATTACCGTGTGATTTCTTTAATTCTTTAGCGCCCGTTTGCAGGGAATGCCTCGGCCTCGGCGAAGAACTTCATTGCGGCTTCGTCTTCGTCGTCCGAGGCCGCCGTCCAATGCCCACAGCTGGCCGCGCTGGAGGCTCAGCTGGCGGCGACGGTGGCACACGAGTTGGTGAACTTCAAGAGCAAGGCACGGTGACGGGCCATGGCCTCGTCAAGTGGCCATCCGACAGGTTCGCTCGCCCTTGTTCGACCGCAGATGTACGGTCCCAGTTAGGGGTCCTGGTCTCGCAACCTCGGTTTGTTGGCCGTTCGACTGGCGACGTGGACAGTTGATGGTTGCTGATGTGGCGCCATTTCTTTCCAAGCTCCGCATCGGAGCGTCGCGGTCTGGGACCCATAGAGGTTGGAGTGACAGACGTTGGGTTGAGGAGTTCCGATGGCGACACTCGCGAGACTTGAGCGTCCATGCTTTACCCATGTCTTGGCAATGATCCATGTCTTTATCACTTGGGCGCCACAAAATGGGTGCATCATGTCATAAATCAACAGACAAAGGTGCCATACAGCTTTGACGGACCTCTGGTCTTCTCCGGCCGCGGCCGGAACCGGTCGTCCCGAAACGAGGTCGTCCGGAACCGGTCGGGGCCTGTCCGGACGGTTTCGGAGGACCGGTCGGACCAGCGGAGCGGCCCGACTTCCGGACCCGTTTCGCCATCGTTCACACCGAAGATGTGGGGTTTTCTTTCAGGGTCCGTTTTCCGCTCGGTGCCCGGTTAGGGCTTATAGGCTTGTCTCAGTCGCGGCAACGTCTCGGAAGATTTCGCCAGGAGTTGCGATCCTTAGCATTCACTCGATCAGTGAAGCTGGGCATCGTGTGTTGGTCTCAGAAACCAAAAATGTTCAGCGCTGAGGGCTGAGAGGCTCTTCCAGGAATCAATGGCGAATGACCTAAGACTGTTGCTTTCCCAAAGGAACAAGAAGCCACGCACGGTGGAGGCCTTCGCTATTGTATAGGTTGGAGGCCATTACTACTAGGAACATCTATAGTCTATAGGAACTAAGAAGCTACTACAGTAGATGGACAAATTAATCAAACCCTAAACCACCATAGCAGA